CACTCCATTAATATAGAGATCTTACGCGATTCTAATCCTTTAAATTATTTTTTGGTAATCGTTCATATTGTAGTCTTGCAGAGATGATCAGATTTGAGGCAGAGAAGCAGAGGAGCTCAAAATGTTTTTTTTTAATTATTTTTTTATTGCATAGATGGCGCGAGATAGGGCGAGCTCACAGCCCACCTGGTGTTAAGTGGTTACTGGAGCCCATAGACATCTACAACGTAAATGCCGGTGAGTGACTATCGGAACCCATAGATAGACACAACATGAATGAAGCTGGAAGCAAATTTGTACTATAGAACGACTATTCCACCCTTAGAACCATAACTGAATATAAGAAGAATAATAAGAAAAAGACTTAGTCAAAGCCTGATCGATCAGACGTCGAAAACAATTGTTTGAAATCATGTGAAAATCAGACGTAGGCTTTTGTTCCACCTTAGAATAATGGAGTGATCTTTCAGCCAAAAGAATTTGCTTACAAAAGATATCATTAAAATGTTCGTATTAATTTTTTGCTTTATCAATATTCCGTATTGATCATGAAATAAACTAAATCGTATATTAATAATAATAATAATATAGACATAGCAGAGAACACGTACATGACCGTGCAAAAAGCCGTAATATTAAACGCATGCCGTATAGTCCGTCAATTCTTGCAGGAAGACTTAAATATTCTGCAAGTAGAAAATGAAGCTCACTTGGCATAGGCCCGTGATCTTCATTATACCGAAATATCTTAAACATTTAGAGAAACACAACACAAAAAAAAATTATATTTCAGAATTAAATTCCGTATGAGGTGTTAGTAATACAAAATCTTTAAATTTACTTGAAGATTAATTAAAAAAAATGCATTTGTATTTAATAAAAAAAAAATCCAAAATTACGTACCGCACACAATGGAAAAGTATTAAAAAGTGACCCTAAATAATTAAAACTCCAAAACTTTATCTCAAAAAAAACATCACCCTTTTATAATTCTCAATCGTTGAGCCCAAACAACGGGTGTGAAGTTTTTAATAATCCATTGTAATCTGGAGCCGATGTTTGTTCAATCTTCAAAATAAACAGATCCACTTAAGGACGAAAAAGGATTGTGTATTATCAGTTTACGACTTTCAATAGGTCGATGTTTATATGCCCTTGGCTTAGGGCGCGCTCTGTAATCAAATTACTGATTTACTTATGTATTTTGTCTTAAATTCAGAAGAGGTTACTGCTTAACAAACATTCAAGTCGCAATAATTATTATGTAAGGGTTTTTTTTCTTCTTTTTGAAGTGAAAACTTCTTTAGAATCGTTGTGATTTCAAACCGGATGCAACGGAAAAACGACAGGTAACTACACAAATACAAAAATGTGTAGGATGAAGTCAGCAAAAAGTGAGACAGAAATATACATACTATTTAATACAGCGCCATCTGTGAGATTTTTTAATACTGACGTGTGTATGAAAGCTCTTGTAGTGAATTTTAATTTAGGATTATACGTGAAATTAAAATATCAATTCACAGAGGGCGCTACCTTACAATTATTTACTAATGACAAAATTTTACATATACTTAAGACGTTTAGGATAATTGTATTTTAATTTTGGAAGGTTTCACTTCTACTACGTGTGAATTGCACACATTTTGTTTTTTTATTGATGCACTAAACAATCATCAAAGTACACATTAGCTAAGCGTACAAGTAGTACCTACCTAGATCTAATTTGGATTGCAATCTGAATGGTATAATGTACATAGCTTTAATTAGCCTTGGCCCTTATTAATGTATATAGCTTTGGCTATTGAAAACAAAATTACAAATAAAAATTAAAACTACAAATAAAAATAAAATTATCGTTGTGGCCTAAAAAATGAGCCACCCATTGTGCTGGTATCAAGCGATACGGCTATGCCAGTGTCAGATCTCACAGATAGTTTTTTGTAAATGAATAAATAATTCATTCATATTCATGATATACTTCCGTGATAAAACAAAATTATAGACGTAAATACATAAATTTATGTAATTAACATTGTTAGGTCGTATTGTAAAATAAGAAAAAATACGGCTGTTTAAATATTGAAAGTGTCTTGAATGTTAAATAATATGATAATTTATACGACTCAAACAATCACATGTCCGTGTTTCAGAAATTAGCTTTCAGGAATTGTCACGAGGAATAATAAATTAGTTCTTGATTTTGTCCACTTGAGATACACCAGATTAACTTCTGAGCATTTTCTTTCCTTCAACATGATGTTTGACTTCGTAGTTTTGTTTCGACTTTACCATTTTCAATAAATAGTCTAACTGAAGTATTTGAAGAGAAGAAATTTTAATTCTATTTTAAAACAATCAATCATTCATCATAAATGAATTATCGCTCCAGATTCAAACGTTTCAATGTATTGACATGCTTTAGACTAACAAATGTACAATCACAATTCGGATAGTGAATGTATTTTATAATGAAACTGACGTCGACAGACAATTAATTCTAGACCTAATAGTACAATAGACAATGTCTCTAATCACATGGCAAATTATTTTGTCAAGGATCAACTATTATTCTAATACAATATAGATTTTACGGCAGGCAGCGGCTTTGACGATAAGCAGCGGCTTGGGTCTGCCCCTAGTGGTGCTTAGGTCCATGGGCGACAGTAACCACTCACCATCTGATGAGCTGTAAGCTCGTCTGCTACTACTTTTACGATTTAATCTCGCGTTTTTTATTCTCATCATAATATTATTTCGGACATTTTAAATACTTTAAGTTGAGCGGGTTATTCGTCGATTTTGAATATTTTGATAACGTGCTATGAATGAGCTAGTAAGACTAAGCCTTAAAAACACCTTTAATTATGTCTATGACTCGGTAAAACTAGAGAAAATAATCTATTAAGTGAAATTAAATAAACATTTATTATTTTTTTATTATTAAATTCTTTATTTCAGATAATGATCCATATAAATGTTAGTAACAGCTATTTCTGAAAAATAAGTTAGTAAGGACACAGTAATAAAAAGTCACAGTAGTAAAAGTAAAATTTAAAAGTCAACATTTATAATACTACTCCACCCAAAACATAAAAATAAAGACGGCGTCCCTAGAGATTCTGATAATAGCCCATATAACTAGATCAGTAAATGTATTTAAAAGTTATTGTAGAACAAAAAATCTCACATAAAATACATAAATTAATCTCGAAACTTCTATGTTTGGGTATTCGTATAAAAAAAAACAAAGCCTACGAACAGCTTAACCTTTGCTCTAAAACCCGTCGGACGTCACTGAATAAGTCTAATAATTACCTAGAAATTCTTATACAAAGGTATTACAGGTGAAATGCTGTCAAAGAAATCCGCCATAAAGCTACATTGTTAGTTCGAGCTAATGGCCCGAAGATCGTTCGGAAGGTTGTAAAAGTGAGGAACAAAGTGATGGTATTTTATCGGTTCGTTTTCCATTTCGCTTTAAAGAAAATGCGTCTTGCCTTTTAAATATCACGTTAAAGTTTCTAAGAATTCTGCGTTCGAACTTAGAACTGATAATAAAAATTTTAACGCAATATCTTTTTTGTGTTCATACAGATATTTTGGTGGAGCCTTAAACCTCGCTACCCAACCAGCAAGCAGTACACTTCAGATAATTTTGAAACTAGTTAACGTCGTGTTAAGAACTAAATCAACATGTAGAAAGACAGGCGCTTATAATCTTTTTGGGAAATCAACTTAATAACGTTTAATAGTTAAGATATACTCCAACTAGGTATGTAGAAAATAAATAGGGATATAAACTTCCTCGTTGTCTCAGGAGTGAGGTAGGTGGAAACATTATCATTGTGATTTCTATAGGATTAATTAAATCGTGCGTTTGTATGGACTATATGTAATACTTTCGGACTGTCCAGGACCTAAGGCAGAATTTAAGACCCCACCCACTAAATGACTCCTCTGCACTATCGCCCAAGCGTCCGATCCCCACGGGGTCCGAAGCCGGATGGGGTAAGGGGCTTACCGCGGTCACCACTGCAACCAGACACGCAACTCTCCCCAAGGACACCCAATCAATGCAGCCTTCGAGACGAAACCTATATATTATAGGTTAAAGGTAGGTAAGATAGTAAAAAGGTAGAAAATATTATACCCCTTTTTACGAAAATTACGCGGACGGAGGATTATGAAATACTTATAATATTAATACTTATAAAGAGTATAGACAAGGAGTGCAGATTCCTGATATTTTTTAAAAATTAACCATAATCATATATATTAAATCAATAAAAATAAAATTATACACACTGCTATGTATGTGACACAGACACATACACACATGCACGCATATAATATACTCTTTTGTTTATTGTTAAAGTCTGTGGTCAAATTGAGAATAGATTAATATTGTTTGTTTTAAAATTATTTATCTGTAGTGTTGCCTTGGCGAAATCTGTGATTATGAAAGTAAAGTCTTTGACGATAGAACCATAATAATGTTCAAACTTACAATTTAAATCAATAATTACTCGTATAGTCGAATGTCGACTATTGGGTGGCCACTATACTCTATTCCAATTACGAAGTCCCACGAGACAGATGTTATTATTATATTATTGTGTATGTGAACTAATTGTAAATGATTTAGATTTATTGTTTTTTTTTATATTATTTTTACGACCATGAACAAAAAATGATTATTATTTCAAACTAGCTGACCCGGCAGACTTGTAGCGCCTCAATCGATAAATAAAAGAAATAAACTTTTGAATAAAATAAACTTAAAACAAACAAAAAGAATTTTAATATTTAACTACCTTTTAAACCTTCTCTGGACTTCTACAAATAATTCAAGACCAAAATTAGCCAAATCGGTCCAGCCGTTCTCGAGTTTTAGCGAGACTAACGAACAGAAATTCATTTTTATATATATAGATATAGATTATGCAAAACGTGAAGAGTTACGTTCTAAGAAGTATCAAAAGGGACTTCGTAATTGGAATAGAGTATAGTTGAAATAAATACAAAGGCGCATTCAATATAAAAAATCGAATTTAATTGACAACATTAATTCTTCGTGTAATGGTTATAAAGTGACCCGAAACAGGCTTAGTGACGTAATCTGATGTCAGCCTTAACTTAGCAAGGTCCGACTTGACGCTGTAGCGACGCAAGATATGAACGAGAATGGTCTTCATTGAATACATAGCAAATATTCTACCTGGAATAACGATAGTAAGCGTTTATCATTAAGTCTCAAAATTCAGTTATCGCATTGAGATTACTCAAAAGTTATTTTAATAGAACGAACTGATTCTAAACGACTATGCTTAGACGGGTTCATGTCCATGCCCCTATTAACATTAAAACAATAATTTGAAGTACATTAAGTACCTGTACTTTACAATTTTTACAACTAGACGCGCGACTCATTTCAAAGACGCCCGACCTTCGAGGCGAAACGAAGGCCCTGGATAACCATCCCAGCCTTAAAATGGGAAAGAACCTACGAGAATCGACCTGAAGTTGACGAGGAAGGCAACAGCAGCTATATCTGTCTATAGGTTTCGGTATGTACCTATCTACCTAATATCAAGTGGATAAAAATATGAATATACCTATACAAAAACGCCGTCCTATTCCAAAAGTGGCAAAATAGGCACTGTGGTGTTCTGGTAATTCCGCCTCTCCCAACCAGCGCTCCGGTCGGAACTGCTCGACGTCCAGACCCCAAGCTTTATGCCGGTTCAAGTTATTTATGAGAATCATACATTGGTCACCCGGGTACATTGTGTAGTTTTCTGAAAGTAAAAATAATTCACTGGTGGTAGGACCTCTTGTGATTACTGGTGGTAAGACCTCTTGTGAGTCCGCACGGGTAGGTACAACCACCCCGCCTATTTCTGTCGTGAAGCAGTAATGCGTTTCGGTTTGAAGAGTGGGGCAGCCGTTGTAGCTATACTGAGACCTTATAACTTATATCTCAAGGTAGTTGGCGCATTTACTTTGTAGCTGCTTCTACGGGCTCCAGTAACCACTTAACATCAGGTGGGCTGTGAGCTCGTCCACCTATCTAAGCAATAAACAAAATTAAAAAAATTAAAAACGATGACATTTTAGATTAGATCCGCGTTACTTAAGACTCGAGACATTTCAAGAGAGCTAATCCTCAATTATTATTAGTGTCATATCGTAAACATCCCAGAAGTCTCATTAAAATTTATTCGTTTTCACAGAAAAAATTAATGAATCAAAATTCTTACACCGTAATCTATATTTACAACTTACATATGACTCATTTGTTTCTATATCATAAAATATTATAATTCCGTACGTCAGTATATAAAATAAAAGCAAAGCTTGGATCCAATAACTCCTCATGAAATACCAATCAGTAAATAATCTTTAACCCGTATAATCTGTACTGGCCTCATCGATTGATTTCAGATGATTAAAAAAATGCTTACTTAATTGTACTTTTTCAGTAATATGTCGTAAAACGGCCGGTAGTACATTGTAAAGTCGTAGAACTTCTTTTATCATTGCTTCCGTGTAGACCAGTTTCTGCAAATCATCTTTATCAAGATTTCGATCGGTAGGTCCCAAAACCTCTTCAATCCTACAAAAACAATTATATTTACTTAATAATCGAAAGCAATGTAAGATTGTAATAATTTGTTTTCAACTATCATCAAAAGCGCTTTAGCTTGTACAGACTCTTTGGCAACTTTTTCTTGTATCTCCGGCATCGATCCTAGAACGAGGAGCGCGTACGTGAGGCTCCAAGACGTGGTATCAAATGCTGCAACTATTACTGTGTCGATTTCTTCTCTAATATCTTCTTGTGAGAAGACTTGATCTCCGGATAAATTCAACAGTAAATCGATCAACGATTGCATTTTAGTTGCTGAAACAATTTTGAACGTTGCGTTTAGTAATTAAACATCGGTTTAACCAACTGTAGTTTCGTTGTTATTAATTTTAATAATAACTATACCTGATTTAACTTCTTTATGTCTTTCCTTCCTTTCCATTCTTTTTCTTTGGACTATCTGAAAAATTATTACAGTACAATCCAGCTATTAATCTTATAAGAATTTTTGTGGCGGTAGCTATCATACAACACGAAGATATTTGACAGATGCCTGAACCTTGCTTACGACATTTTCAAGCTTGCAACACAAGTTCCGAACAACAACATTTCGAACGTCGGTCTACTCAGCAATTACACAAAATCTTCAATTTGTCTTATACCTCCAAATTAAAAAAAAATCCTTCTTCGTCCTATTTAGAAAAAAATTATCGTGTATTTACCGAATTGGATAGCTGATGGACATATTTTATTAGTTCGTCTTCTTTCTTTTTGAAGCCACTAAGTCTGTAAATCAAATCGCTTTGAAGCCATATGTTCTGGAATTTTCTTGTTTGTATGCCGATTAATTTTTCACATGCATGTATGTATTTGTTGCAGAACTCACTGTCTTGATCCACATTTATGCCGAAGGCGGTTGCTGGAAATGCCATTAATGTCTTCTTCTTTTTTTTTTCAAGTAGCCAAATAAGGTCAAAGGACATATTTTGGTTAGGCCATAGGAATCGCAACCTGGATACTATTACTAATCAACTTAAGACATAACTTATACTTAGCATGACTTAACCAAATACTTTCCTTTTTCATGATTTACTTATTTGTTACCAACGGAAAGTACAGTAGTAAAATATAAACAAATTTAACTTTGAGATGTTGTTGCCTTTAAACAATAGCGAACAAATAAAAATCAAAACAAGAAAAGAATTTTCTGAGTGGACTATCGACACTTTCCATTTGAATAATTTTCATGTCAAACTGACACCCATCTTAAACCTTATGAAGGGCTAAGGGTAAACTACTCATTATTCAGGTCTATCTCAATTGTATATTAATTAAATAACTACCTACAATTTTTTTGAAGATTTAATCTTTTATACACATATAATTATTGTTATGTCATCGCCATTGAAAATCAGTTACACCTTGACGTTACTCCATTTTGAATTACCGTACGCAAAATAAGCGATTGGAATTATTTAAATAAATCCTAGTTCTAGTCCTTCGTAATTAAAACAGTTTCTTTCGTTTGTCGAATCCAGCCTTATAAGTAAGTTTATATATTGCTCTAATGTAAGTCTGCGAAACAGGTGTAAAATTGCAGGTGTACCGCTTTCATATATCAAAGACAATATTTCCTTTGCAATATTTCCGAAAACATTAATATCTTATTATTCGGTATCCACAGATTACCACGATCAGTAGGATTCACTTAATAACAATGTATTTATTGTAGTTTTTAAACCGATTATATCACTAATTTTAATTCGAATTCATATAAATTTGATTGCGTTTTACTTTCACTGATGGTAGGATCTCTTGTGAGCCCGCACGGGTAGGTACCACCACCCTGCCTATTTCTGCCGTGAAGCAGTAATGCGTTTCGGTTTGAAGGGTGGGGCAGCCGTTGTAACTATACTTGAGACCTTAGAACTTATATCTCAAGATGGGTGGCGCATTTACGTTGTAGATGTCTATGGGCTTCAGTGACCACTAAACACCAGGTGGGCTGTGAGCTCGTCAATCCACATAAGCAATAAATAAATAAAAACTGCAGTCTGAAACTTACAGCAGATTGTCTTCAATGATGTTTGGGACAAATATTGAAATACATTGAACGGTTCTTTGTCCACTTCGTCTTCCAAATTTTCCACTAGACTCCTGGCTTGATTGTTGAATAAATCCAAATAGCCCAATACCACGTTCAAATGAAAGGCAGGATTCATAAGTTTACGGTGCATTTTCCAAGTTGAGCCTGACGGGAAGATGTGCATTAGAATGTTGATGATGAGCATGTTTTCGCTCGAAGAGTGGTACGAGTGTGAGCAATTAAAATCGGGCGAACCGCAAGCGAACTGGTGGTAGGACCTCTTGTGAGTCCGCACGGGTAGGTACCACCGCCCTGCCTATTTCCGCCGTGAAGCAGTAATGCGTTTCGGTTTGAAGGGTGGGACAGCCGTTGTAACTATATTGAGACCTTGGAACTTATATCTCAAGGTGGGTGGCGCATTTACGTCGTAGATGTCTATGGGCTCTAGTAACCACTTAACACCAGGTGGGCTGTGAGCTCGTCCAACCATCTAAGCAATAAAAAAAAAGGAGCCCGAGAAACCAGACCAAAATCAAATTATCGACGCGGTTAGACCGAAACCTTTTTAATTTTATCTATCTATGAGCGATGCAATAAAATATGTTATTATGATCATTGGCTATTTATTAATATAATATACAAAAGAAATAAATAACATTGCCGCCGCGTAATCCGGTTTAAAATAGAACAAGTTTTAAAGATTGTTATTTCCAATAATATCTACCATTATAGTTTTTGTAAACAGCATTTCGCTTTAAGTCTTTTCGTTCGTACCAGGACGTGGATGAGCTGACAGCTCACTTGATGTTTAGGGGCTAGCTGAGACTATAGATATCATAAACGTGGACATCCCCATCTAAATTGAGACATTAAGTTAAATTTTCATCCTTATTAAGCACACTGCCGAAATAGGCCGATAGACACCCAATAAGTGCGCCGTAATGACGTTAAATTCATGCTGAAATAAAAAAAGACGTGTGGCATTCGGAGACTGCCGCGGTAAAGCTATTGCATAGATTTTTTTATCAACTTATGCAATTATAAATCGACAATAATAATTTCATATTAAAACAACAATAAAATAAGATCCGGCGAGAAACTCAGTGGGCTAACTTTCAATGAATCTGCTACATTGTGAGTATTCCATTTTGACCGCGCACTCACTAGAGGGCGCTACATGGGATAGAGACACGCCTTTGGATGCTAGTTCTAACTCTCATTCGCTCAGAATTAACGATTTAGCTAGTTTAATTTTAAAGCCGCTCCAATCACTGAATGAGTAGTAGGAGTAGTAATAAAATTCTTCGACTAAGCGATAGAAAATGGCACGCCCAACGCATTGTAATGTGATATAATTTTCTATTTTACAATTCCGTTTGTCGCCGCTAGATGGCGCTTGACGCAAAAGCTGAATCGCGCTATCGTTGTGTTACCCACGAAATTATATCACATATTTTGATAGTACATAAATCGGTGTTTAGACTTCTTACATTAAACACTACAAAAGCGCAACGTGTGAATGTGTAGAACGCGAGCTACATAGTAGGCGTAGTGAGGGGTGGAAGGTTTTTTCGTTACGGAATTTCACGATTCCGCTATTAAGGCCCGCGATAAAATCTATGCAATAGCTTAAAAACTATAATTGGATTTGATCTTTTCTCAGTTATTGCTTAGATGAGTGCACGAGCTCACGATCCACCTGTTGTTAAGTGGTCACCGGAGTACATAGACATCGATAGCGTAAATGCCGTCACCAACCTTGAGACTTGAGTTCTAAGTCTCAGTTTTTACATTAGAACGGCTTCCGTATCCTTCAAACCGAAACCCATTACTGTTTCAACAATAAGAAATAAGCAAGTTTTATGGTTTTATTTTTATTTTTATTTATTGCTTAGATAGGTGGACGAGCTCACAGCCCACCTGATGTTAAGTGGTTACTGGAGCCCATAGACATCTACAACGTAAATGCGCCACCCACCTTGAGATATAAGCTCTAAGGTCTCAAGTATAGTTACAACGGCTGCCCTACCCTTCAAACCGAAACGCATTACTGCTTCACGGCAGAAATAGGCCGGGTGGTGGTACCTACCCGCGCGGACTCACAAGTGGCCCTACCACCAGTAAAAATGGTTGTGATCTTGTATTATTAATTGTACCGATGTTTGACATATTTTCAAGTTTACGGACGATTAGGATTATTAGGATGTACAATAGTCTGAATTCGTCGTGGCCTAAAGGATAAGACGTTCGGTGCATTCGTATGTAGCATAGTAATAAGGCAAGATCATAACCATAAAACTTGCTTATTTCTTATTGCCGAAATAGTAATGGGTTTCGGTTTGAAGGGTGGGGCAGCCGTTGTAACTATACTGAGACTTTAGATCTTATATCTCAAGGTGGGTGGCGCATTTACGTTGTAGATGTCTATGGGCTCCAGTAACCGCTTAACACCAGGTGGGCTATGAGATCGTCCGCCCATCTAAGCAATAAAAAAAAACTCACCTCCTGATGTAATTAGCCCGTTCCCAAGCCACGGTTCGGCTTGTTTGAATATAGCGTGCTTTGAGAGAGATGAGTTTGCTGCTGTCAAGGCATCTTCCGGATCTACGATAACTGACATCCAAAAGATATATTATAATGATTATCAATCATCAATCAATATGTATAAAAATGAATTGCCGTTCGTTAGTCTCGCTAAAACTCGAGAACGGCTGGACCGATTTGGCTAATTTTGGCCTTGAATTATTTGTGGAAGTCCAGAAAAGGTTTAAAAGGTATATAAATATGAAAATGCTCGAAATTAAACAAAACTAACAAATTTTTTTTCCCTTTGATGTGTCCGCCGTCGGACGGATTCCTTTTGTTTGTTTTAAGTTTATTTTATACAAATGGTTAGGTCTTTTATTTATCGATTGAGGCACTACGAAGTCTGCCGGGTCAGCTAGTTTCTAATATAATTAGGTTTTTTTAGAGGAATGTTGTGGACTTTTACTTTTAGAATCATCTTTCAGGGCCTTGTCGTTCAGGGCAAAGTAGAAGCCACCAGACCGCGTGGAAGGGTGCCCATGCGATGGACCGACCAGATCAAGTCGGCAGTTAGCGGCTGTTTGCATGAGTGTACCAGGCTCACCACAAACCGAGAGGAGTGGCGATTGCTCGTGAGGTGCATAACATCTGCCCACATCAATGATGCTGGATGACGACCACGGCCGCTCTGACAAGAGTGATACGACATACGAGACGAGATAAAATATAAATTTAAAATGCACTGTTGTAATAAAATTAGTCTAATATGTATACAGTATTATACATACTTACTAGCTGACCCGGCAAACGTTGTGTTGCCCTAAATAAGATTTCTAGGGAAATTCTACTGTAGAAAAAAAAACCTCATTTAACCACATAATACCTCATTATAAACAAAAAAAAATATCCAAAAAATTAAAATAAAAAATAAATGTTTGGGGTGGACAACCCTTTTCACTTAGGGGTATGAAAAATAGATAGTAGCCGATTCTCAGACCTACTGAACATACTATTGATACACAAATAAAACCAAAAAAACATGGCTGAAAAATGTATAGTATTGTGTAATAGCTCTCAAATATATTAAGTGTATAATCTATGATGTATAGTGAGTAAGTAAGACAGGAGACCGGCTTCGTCCTCATCCCTACTACGTGATGTTTGCTGGATGAGTGGTGACACCTGGTGGGGTTAGCTGATCGATTGATAGTTGATCAGTAGTCGACCGGCGAGGGCGGAAGATCAAATTCAATTTAAAAAAAAACATAATTAAAGGAACTTGAAATTATAAACTCTGAATAAGAATTTATCGTACTACAATTATAATATTTGATTGCCATCTTGCAACCTTATTGTGTGGACCTGTCCATAGAATAAAAAAATATTAATCGGGATGGAAAAATAGGGGTTGATCGTATAAGAGTGAAAATTGAGAGTAATATATTTTTTATTTTATTTTAAGTCATGACAAAACAAAATAAGAAACTTGCCAAAAAAATTAAAGTTTACAATTAACAAATAAAAAATAGGGGTTGATCATAGAGGGATGAAAAATTGAGAGTAACATCAGATTTTTTATTTTAATTCATGACAAAATAAAAATGAAAATCTTGCCAAAAAAATTCAAGTTTATATAATTATAAACAATGCCCGTTGGACCGATGCGCGATGACTTGCGGCGATATGCTGGGAGAGATTGGATGCGGAAGGCGGAGGATCGTTCATTGTGGCGGACTATGGGAGAGGCCTACATCCAGCAGTAGAGAGATACAGGCTGATGATGATGAATTATAAACAATAATATTTATACAAATAAAAAATAGGGGTTGATCGTAGAGGGGTGAAATTTTGAGAGTAATATGAATGTTTTTATTCTACGTCATGACAAAATAAAAACAAAATTCTCGCAAAAAATTTTAAAGTTTTTAATTAGCAAATAAAAAATAAGGGTTGATCGTAGAGGGGTCAAAATTTAGGGTTGTATGTATTTTTGTATGCTGTATCATAAAAAAATAAAAAAAAATTTTTTTGTCTAAAAATTAAAAAAAAAAATTTTGGGGTGGACTACCCCTAACATTTAGGGGGATGAAAAATAGATGTTGGCCGATTCTCATAGATACCGGATAAGCACAAAAAATTTCATCAAAATCGGTCAAGCCGTTTCGGAGGAGTATGGCAACGAAAACTGTGACACGAGAATTTTATATATTAGAAGAAGATATTATAAATTCGATATTATTTTTGTTTGTTCGTTTGTGTTTTTGTTGCTCCTTCATTGACGTCGAAAAGAAGCAATGGATTTACATTATCAAAGCCATTGGTGTTTAGGCGTATGTTTTAGCATGCACGGCTATTTCTGTCGCGAATCAATCGTTTATTTCGGTCTAAAGACCGGGAGACCCGAGAAAGAGAGGGCGGAGTGAGAAAGAGAGAAAGGAAGTGAGTGAGAGCGAAAGGAAGCTAGTGAGTGAGAGAGAGAGTGAGAGATAGAGATAGTTATACCAATGCAATCGACACTTCGACCTCATGTCTCAAGCTGACTGACAGAACTCATGTCATGACATCTATGGAACAAACAAACAACAGCTGATTATCGAACAAACACCAGGTGTTATTTCAGCTGGTCTACCGTTCTATGACCAATAAAATGTGCAAATAGATGTGCCTTACCAAAGTGGCGTTGAGCTCCGACATAAAAACCAATAACACCTCCTTTTCGTTCACATTCTTCGCCTAAATCGAATAGCGTTCGGGAAAGACCTGAATTGAGAAAAAGTAAAGTATATTTGCCGCTGATTCCGTCATCTTCCTTTCATCATTGCATTACAACTTAACTTAATTAAGCGGGAGTGGAGTTTATTACCACGTGGATTACCTACGTGGAATCGCTGTAATATCAACAGTGCATTTCACGCCATCATTGTACGAATATTTGCGCGCATGTGAGTGGCCGTCAAACGTTCATTCGCAAACTTAGCGGCTGTGCAAATGGGTTCGGTACTCAATTTGCGAACCCTTCTGCACTTGTTTACGAATGTCTCACGAATTTCTCCACCTTTTTAATTCGTTAATAGAACATTGAAGAGAAAAAGAGTTTTGAATTCTTTCCCAGATATCATTAACAGCCATGCTGTTTTTATGGGATTTCTTTTGATGAAGATACGCTACACAGTAGACGTCACGATCTATGAAAATAGCGAAACATCCGTTGCCTTCGCAATCCTGGGCGCAACTGGTCACACGAATGTGTGGGAGACTACGTGAAGGTTCGCGGTTCGAGCGCTTTGATGCCGTTAAAAAACCGACACAGCTTGGAAAACCACGAATGCAGCGAAAACTTTGCATAATCATTTGCAAATGTCGTCCTACACTCACGGGTTTGCGTATTCGTGCGCATGTGAGTGACCGGTGTTAGACAAGTGTCGAACCAAGAATGAACTCCCCACAACCAATACCGTCTTTACCATAAGGGCACACGGGGCCCGTGCCCAGAGCCCCCATTCTCAAGGGGCCCCGAAAGACCGACAATTTCTCTCACACGTTTATTCTCAAAACATTTTTGTCGGGCACATTACACTTTTTTCACAAATCAGTAATCAGAAGGTATTTATTTACAAGGCATACTTATACTAGGCCTGTAATAGAAGATTTTGCTCAACAGAAATCCCGAAAGAAACCGTTATCGAAACCGTAACCAAAAAACCAGCAGCATTCTAATATAATTAATGACATATTATATCATACTGTATTTTATTACCTATAATAAATGATCTCATACTCAGTAAAAAAATATTATTATAATTCGCTTTTTTTACTTTCCAAAAGGGCCTCAAATTCTTGTGTGCCCAAGGGCCCCATCCTAGCTTAAGACGTCCCTGCCCACAACAGTATTTCCTGAGTACTATGACTTACCTTTCTTTAGACGAGGCTTGAAAACGTCTTTCAAGATAGGCAATAGTAATAACTTTTCATCTCGTAGTTTAGTAGCACTCATTAGTTGTCATTAACAAAATATATTTACTTTAACATTTTCAACTATCGATAAAATACACAAAGACACTAATTTAAACACTAAACTTAAAATAAACAATAAGATATTTTTAGAAAAAAAAAAAAAAAAACAAATTGACAATATATATTTTTTTGTTATTTATTAATTATTTGAAACGTTTAAATAAAACTTAAATGTTTACACTAACGTCATTTAGAATACAAATTATATTTCACTACTTACGTTCACCGCCGCCAATAATTTTATACAGATGCCCAATTATTGGAACCCAACCAGAAAATGTGGGTGGGGAGTTTTCTTTCACCTCTACAGTTAATTTCCACAACAACCCGAATAATATAATCAGAAACAGAACGATTCCTAACATTATAGAAGGATTAAATTTTAGATTAATATTATTATTCTTTTGTTATGAACGTAATTCAATTAAAAATTCGTATTGATAAAATTTACACGAGCGATTGTTGAACCGTCTTTAGTATCATTGGGATTCTTAGAAGGCTTATTTCTTTATATACGATGCTACACATGGTTTTTGTTACTAAAGAAAACGCGCTAACTACTATATCATTCATTATAAAGAAATTTTTAATGTTTTTTTTTCTTAAATATTCTGTGGCGCTTTCTATCTTTAGAATATATTGCGTTATTTTTCTCAAAAAAATCCGTACCCTTAAAGCTTAATTCTCAGCTATTTACGTATTTAGAATGTAAATTGAATTATGTTAATTATTAGGTCTAGAATAGTACCAGCTTATCTCTGGTTTCGTAAATATCAACAAAGGGATTTTACGAAAAATAGTATTGCCACCGCATTATACCACTAGTCATAGATCACCAATCGCCATTTGGTGATCTATGACTAGTTTTTACTGGTGGTTGTGAGTCCGCACGGGTAGGTACCGCCTCCCTGCCTATTTCAGCCGTGAAGCAGTAATGCGTTTCGGTTTGAAGGGTGGGGCAGCCGTTGTAACTATACTGAGACCTTAGAACTTATATCTCAAGGTACGTGGCGCATTTACGTTGTAGATGTCTATGGGCTCCAGTAACCACTTAACATCAGGTGGGCTGTGAGCTCGTCCACTCATCTAAACAATAAAAAAAAAAAAAACATAATCTTCAACGGAGTATCAATCTAGAACTCAGTGATGTAATCGCCTGAGACGGTAGGCAGCGGCTTGGCTCTGCTTTTGGCATTTCTGACATTCATGAGCGCTAATAACCCGAGACCGTGCCGCCTTTATACTAGGACGAGTCTACCCTATACTTTGCAGATGAAGCAAACTGTCCCTCCGTAATAAGGTAACCCTCTACAAAACTTGCATACGCCCCGTCATGACGTATGCAAGCGTAGTGTTCGCTCACGCGGCCCGCACCAACTTGAAGCCCCTCCAGGTTATTCAATCCCGATTCTGCAGGATAGCCGTCTTAGCACCATGGTTACTAAGGAATGTGGATCTCCACGATGACCTGGAGCTCGACTCTGTCAGTAAGTATCTACAGTCGGCATTGCTGCGTCACTTTGGGATGGCGGCACGACATGAGAACCGTCTTGTCGTGGCCGCTGGAAACTACATACCCGATCCTGTAGACCGAATGGTAAACCGTCGACGTCGCCCAAAGCACGTACACAAAATATAATAAGTGATAATATGTTTAAGAAGAATGCCTTTGTAGGCAGACGTTCACAAGGCCCTCTTAAAGGTAAGCAGTCATTGTTGCTCATGGACATTGCTGTTTAGTAATGCACTCGAGACAATCGAACTGCTGCGTACTGCTGGGGACACTCTTCAAACCTCGTAGCACTTGGATAGCACCGTGTGGGATATTATCCCAAAGCCGGATGTTACGTAACAAAAAATATCTGTGGACATCTGTGTGGGCGAACTCTGCTCCGCTGGCGGGCAATGCGACAGTAAAAAGGAGATAAATGGATATTCTCGGATATTTTCTCAACTATATTCCGAGAGAAAAACTCTAATGACCGATGTATCATCGTATGCTATCATACGTATAACAAAACATCCAATAAATAGATAGTGTTACGCGCTGGGGTTCGGGATAAATAAAATTCGGGATAAGTAAAACTTAAAAACTGTATACAACACTAAAAACACTGCACAACCCCTTTATAAATCTCAATTCACTTCTTCCGCTTCATTTCAGGTGATCCGTTCGCTGTTTTGCTTCGAGTAGTTCCGATTACCAACTGACTGCGTGCCATCTCTACAACGCTTTTATAGCCGATACCTCATCCCTAGAATTATCGAGAATATTCCATCTCTAGTATTGTGTTTCCGCTATCTGACAATAGATGGCATTGTACTTCTCAAGCGTTCTAGGTGCTACTAGATCCTTCAATATTTGTTCGACTATTCGGCGATAGATGGCGTTACTCTTACCGACGAAACAATAGCATATAATAGAAACTGACCTCCAGTAACTACGCTTTTTTTTATTGCCCTTGATGACTACTCACCAGATGGTGAGTAGTCATCAAGGGCAATGCCAGGGACAGAGCCAGGCCGCTGCCTACCGTTAAAAGAAAAAAGAGAAAAGTTGTCGTTGTTCGAACCCCGCAGGCTGGTACCAATTTTTGTAATGAAATACGTAATTGACAAATGTTCACGATTGACTTCCACGGGGAAGAAATAATATCGTGTAATAAAAACCAAACCCGCAAAATTATAATTTGCAGTATAGTTACAACGGCTGCCCCACCCTTCAAACCGAAACGCATTACTGCTTCACGACAGAAATAGGCAAGGTGTTTATACCTACTCGTGCAGACTCACAAGAGGTCCTGCCACCTCCAAAAGTAAATTCCAAAGTAATTATGTGGTGTCGTGGGACACCAGGTAGGAACGAAGTTCCTTCGGCTAATGTAGAATCGACACAAATTTCAAAAAAAATCGTGCTTAATTTTATGTAGGATTTCTTGGTTTTTCGCTTAAATTTTGCTGATTAGTTTTTATTTAAGTACAAGAAAGTATTTAGGAAATTCAATATTTTAGGAAATAATAAATTACTTAAAATAAAAAAACATCGTAATTCAAATTATCAACTAAAATAACAAAATATGTCTCTTTATTTTTGTTTGACAACATAAAATTACATCGAAATAGAAAAATAGAAATAATAATAGAAAGAGAATGGATGAGAGAACGAAAAGAAAGAGGGAGAAAGAGAAAGGTATTATACACTACTCGCTTGTGTATGCGACTGTCGCGCCTGCGCACGTCTCATTTAACGGTTTTATTCCACGCACTTTTTTCCACGGATTTTTTCTTACGGTTTTACTATCACATTTTTTTCAGTTCGGTCGCGCAGCAAAATCCCTATCCCCTTCAAGCCTGCCGTAAGGAACTTCGTTCCAATAGATTTGTGAGTAGTTTTTGCTCGTCACTTGCTGTCAATGATTAGAGCTATGTATGTAAAAGTGAAGGTAATCAATAATAAAGATTAGTCACAGTGTCTTGTGCGTAATATTATGTTTTTAAAGAATTTTTGAAGTAAACGTGCGTCAAACGTTATAATTTCTGCATATCCCACATATATAAGAGCATAAGCAGTATATTTTATTGAGCAGTAAGAATATTAGTAATCGTTGTGGCCTAAAGGATAAGACGTCCGGTGCATTCGTATGTAGCGATGCACCGGTGTTCGAATCCCGCAGGCGGGTACCAATTTTTCTAATGAAATACGTACTCAACAAATGTTCATGATTTACTTCCACGGTGAAGGAATAGCATCGTGTAATAAAAATCAAACCCGCAAAATTATAATTTGCGTAATCACTGGTGGTAGGACCTCTTGGGAGTCCGCACGGGTAGGTACCACCACCCCGCCTATTCCCGCCGTGAAGCAGTAATGCGTTTCGGTTCGAAGGGTGGGGTAGCCGTTGTAACTATACTGAGATCTTAGAACTTATATCTCGAGGTGGGTGGCGCATTTACGTTGTAGATGTCTATGGGCTCCAGTAACCACTTAACACCAGGTGGGCTGTGAGCTCGTCCATCCATCTAAGCAATAAAAAAAAAACCTATTTAGTAGTGATTGCATTTTATTTTGTTGCTTTTTTTTCAAACAAGACATAGCCTTTCTTTAGAAATACTCTACTAAAAAATTCTAGTTAGACATACATGTAATAATAGCTTGATTATGCCAAAACATTCTAGTTCAGTGATATTCAAGGCAACATGTCTCGCTAGTAAAACAGTTGACAATTGAAAAATGTAATTAATATCACGATATATCGTCGTTGCAAATTTAAAATCTCCTATTTGATATTTTGGGCCAAAATGATGTTTTCAGATACAGATGAAAGTTATTTTGAATACCTATACCTACAAAGCAAAAACTACCGCGTGTATATCTCAATATTTCACTATATTGCGCGTCAATCTTAAAAAATCCTAAGTGACGGTTTGCATTTTATTGTAGATCACAGTATTCTATGTGCTAAAAAATATTTGCATATTTTTTTCAGGAGGTAGTTTTATAAGGTTTTCTCAAAAACGAAAATTATACACATAGGAGCATTCAAATTTGCATTCAAATTTGCAACCACGATATGCGACATTATTTCTCTTTGTCGTATCACTCGTGTCTCATAGTCGTGTTAGTATCATTGCTGTGGGCAGATGATATGCGCCTCACGGGCAATCGCCAGATCAGACATTACGGTATGAAAAAACGCGGCAAATAAATTCGTTTACTCAAATACCAGACTTACATTTGAAATACATCCTTATGCTTCGGTCTATTATAAATCTCACTCGCCTAATTCGGGTTGGGCACCAGTCCGTGACGTCATCGCTTATTCTGAACGCGTGCTCATTTAAAAAGCTTCACCCATTCAATGTGTGACTGACCGAAGCATGTTCGCTAGGGTTGCTAATGTACCAGAGTATAAGGCATCATTTATAACCTTACGAAGGCGTACAAGCACGCGTCTAGAAACTAGTCAAGAGAAGTTCGGTGTTCAAAGTTTTCCCTGTGCATTTGTCCTGGAATTTAAATTTAACTTTCATTCTTAATTTAAATGATTACTATAACCTATTTTTTCCAATTCCAGTGGATCGTAGACATGTTATTTAAAACTCCTTTCTTGTCGATACGATATGTCGAACGATATTGTTTACAACGTTTCGAATAATTTATAGTATTTTTTAAATCAGTAAAGCCTTCGTTAATCCGTAAAAGTCATTTTAATTACATAAATAATTGATTTAATAAAAAAATATATTTAAATATGAATTTGGAATTCAGAAGAGTCTTGTCTCTTTCATTCGTGCGTGCCTTCATTGAGAAAGACGATATATTATGGCATTGCTTGTCTGTATAATAATATAACATAAAGTATTTTTTTATTGCTTGTACGGGTGGACGAACTCACAGCCCGCCTGGTGTTAAGTGGCAACCAGAACTCATAGACCTCAACAAAGT